CATCCAGGGGAAACAAGGTTTTGGAAAAGAACGGTAGTTGAAAAGACTGGTCATCGACTGTACGCTGAATGATCTGAGCTTAGCTTCAAACAGTGAACCAACTTGCTCACCTCACAACCTCCTCCCGCTTTGTGACAGGAGCGCCGCGTTTTGCAGCAGGCGTTGATGAAGCCGCGCGCATAAGTCACCGCCGTGTCTTTGTCAGATGGGCACTGATCACATGTTACAAAAATCGGAGTCTGCCAGCCTCAGTACAAACTCTGCCGCCAAGGCGCCTCGTCAGCTGCTTTGCTCGTGCCCCAGACACATGCTTTGCTTCTGTTTCAGAGTGTTTGACGGAACCTAGTGATGTATTGCAACGCAGGAGAGCTAAATGCCTGTGTTTAAAGCAGGAACCATCACTTGGCACACCAGGTACCCACTCAGGCTCAAGATGTGCTCAAGATTTGTTTGGCAAGTCTTCTTCGCTCGGTGGATAGTGATTTGTCGAACACTGTGGCTTTATCCCAAACTAGCTGTTGCAGGTCGCCTGCCAGCTTAGTAAGCACTGCTGAGAGTGGATTGCTGCTAGCATTGCGCTTACGACTGCTCGGCACAGCGAGTTGCTCCAGCTAAGCACGAGTACTGCCTGGGCACATGTGTTTCTTGGTCAATCAAAGTCGCAGCAGCTGCGTCGTCCCGAGGATAGGCTAGATCAGGTGCAGCGGGACAAGCCAGGCGCTGACGCCGCTTGCATCAGTGATTTTTTTCTAGGCCCATGCCAGAGCTGGAGGTCAAGTGGATGCTGCTTGAATGTCCCCAGCAAGCCAATCGTGGAAGCCTTGCTTTCTGAACTTCGTGTTGAATACAACCTGGGCACAACAGATCTGGAATTGGGTTCTTGCATTGCATGTTAGAACTCAAACCAACTGTTGGAGCAGTTGCAATACAGCAACACCTGCCATGGCCTGCATATCTTGGATTGGCAGGCAAGGGTGCATGTTTGACTCTCTGAAACTTTGGCATGTCTGTCGCTGCTGTTTTATTTTTTTGCCAAGACCCAAGATCGCAGTGCTCTGATCAGTTTCCCACCCTCACGCCACCCTCCATTGACGTTTGGGCTACAAGCCCCCCATCAGAGCAATCATCACCGACATGTGCGTCTGTATTAAATTATGACTCTTTGGGGTGGGACTGTATGATTCATCAGAGACCAGGTTGCATGTATGCGGTGTTTGGGTTTTAAGTTCGGCTGCCAATGCTATCTCTATTTGCACTTGGCCAATTCAGCACTCGCAGAGGTCTTGAAGCATGAAACGGACGATAGTCCCTTGACGAAATTGATCTTCCAGCTGCCCTCCCACAGGGGCTATGTTTGCGGGTCGGGATTGCTGGCTGTCGCCAGGAAATTTCAACCTCTGGCGCCAGAAGCTGGTCTCAGAGCGCTACTGGGCCTCCCTCTTGGAGGCGCAAGCAACCCTCTAGCTTATGATTCTCGGCTTAGGAGGTTCAACATGTCTTGTTTGGCAGCCAAAATCGCCGGCCTTGACGGTTGCGTTACACATCCTTCAGTGCATTGGTCTTGCCCATGTTGTAGGTCATGCTTGGCTAGATGCTTCGGGTTTCGGATGGGGCTGACTCTTGCAGCAGCATTCAGATGTCGCATGAGCACATTGCTTTGCTAGGCAGGCTCTCCTCTTGAGATCCCTTGATTGTCTTCACCGAGATGCGATGAAACCTCACGAGTAATACGCCGCCATTGTCACACAGCGTCAGGCTGATGTCAAATTTCCGTTGTTTCAATCAGAAGAGTCAAACTGTTTGACACTTGGACATTGCCCAGGCACATCTTGACAGGTTTCAAGATGTTCGCCTTGGCAGCTAGCTTGAGGAGGGATTCGCCCACCTTGACCCAGTGGCAACATGGGGCAGTGGGGCTTTGGGGCATTGGGGTTGCTTGTGATACTTGGCGTATGGCAGGCAGAGCAGCTCGTCAGCGAGGAGATCAGTAGTTGCGCCTTTCGGATGCATCGGCAGTTCCCGGTTTCTGGGCGGAAGGCAGCAATGCTTCCAAACACGTTCCGCGAGAATTTGGCAAGTTGCTTGAGCCGGAGCAAGACTTCATGTTTTTCATTCTAGCACTCGTGCGAGAGTCGCAGGCTGGCCTGTGTCACAGAGCAAATATATGACTTATCAATATTCGTACTATTTAAATGTCACGAAATTAGCAGAGAAGCGTGAGAGCTATGATGCATGAGTGGTTTGCATGCGCCCTTGGCCTCTGATGTTGGGTCATTCTATCTTTCCCATTCTCCATCCTCAGCTCCCAACCAATTCAAGAGCTGGGGAAGGTAAAGGATGGTAAAGGAAAGACCAACAGTCACTAACTCCCATTCTAGTCCTTTCTGTAATAGCTGCCAAATATTATTTATCTTTCTTTTATTTACAATTAATTATTATTTATTTTCTATTTTCATTTCTATTTAGTTTTATTATTTTTATATTGCTTTTTTTATATTTCTTTCATCATCACTTCATCTTTTCCAACATTAAAAGCTTGTAATCCCAAATAATCCAAATATAGAAATGGAAAGATATTAAGATGGAAATATGATAAGGGATCTATTCTCTCACTCCTGTCTCCTCCCTGTCGCCAGTTCTCTCGATTCAAGATGATAGGGAACGGACTGGAAGGAAGTGGTTAGACACATTATCTTTCCCATGTGACCGCCAATGAAGGCTGGTCCACTCACTCATTCACTCTCCCTCCCGCACGCGGTCGCATCCTAAAGTAATTCTTGGAGGTATACCGTGGAAGGATTGGTCAGGTGACAGCGTTCACCGGTGGTAGGGAGAGGACCTATATCTCAGGGACTTGACCGGTTGGTGGCTGAGATTACATGGCATGCTGTCAACCAAAGAGACTCAACTTCCCTTCCCCAGCTTCTTTCATCCGCTGGGCCATATCTCTCTAATCCTTTCCATTCCTAAGATTAATAAATGAAAGACAGATAAAGGAAGTCCTTACAGAAAAGCCATTATTCTACATCTTATTGTCTCGCATCCATCCCTTCTCCTTACTAATCCACATTCCTCCACCTCTACCTCCTGGCTCTTCCAACCGCCAGGAAATAGGATAAGGAAATGATTAGTAAGAAGCGATCCAATATTAGAGCTTCTGGAGATCCATTCATTCCTCTCTTCCCCATCCCTCACGCCCGAGCGAAGAGAAGGGAAAGGGATGGCATCTCCCCTATCTATCTCCTCACCGTCGATGATAGGAATCTTCAGGCACAGTAATTAAAAGGGAAAAATATATGTCAAGGATTTTACAGATAACTTCTTGACCATTGACTGCCAAGGAAGAAATCATCCAAGAAGCATTCTATCTCTCATGGACACTCCCGAACGAAGAGAGGGGGAGGACATGAATGGGTTGCTTCTTTCATGATTCCTTACCCAACAGCGACCCAACATGAGATGGAGATGGGAAATGAAGGGACCCATCTATCCCAGCCGCTCATTCCCTTCGCTCACACACTGTAACTCCTGGAAATCCTTGAATTGGGACGGCTGGTCACTAATCTTTTCTATCTCTTTCCCTTATCCTTCCTAACATTACAAACCTAACAAACAAGAAAGGGAAGGATAAGGAAAGAGTGGCCTGACAGCGAGTGAATCCCATCCCTAACCCACCTTCCTCCGCTCTCTCCCACATGCCACCTCTCTCTTCGTTCGTTTACCTGGCATGCGATTCCAAGAGCTGACAGGTGGGTGAAAGAAGGATGGATTTCTTGTCAGCCATTACCTTCCTCTTCCTCATGTCACCTTCATTCACATCCTAAAGTCGTTCATTTTGGTTACATTCTGGATTGGACGGAAGGACAAGGAAGAATGGGATAAGTGGTCGCTTCTCTGTTGGTCTTCATGTCCACAGCTTCATTCTGGTCTAATTCCTGTCTTTCATTATCCCATCCTGGCTGTTACCATTGTGACCCAACAGATTAACTCCTAGAGACAGAGATGAGCAAGGTCGTAGGAAGGAGTTAATATGTGGCCGTGGGAAATAGAATGCTTGGATGCAGCGGAAGGAAGATAACTCAGGAACCCACGACCTCTCTCCTCAGCCCTCACCAATATAATGGTTGCATCTGGGGCTGAGTCTTGAGTTACCTTATGTTCTATCCACAGAACGCTTTGCGCACAGCAAACAATAGGCCGAGGAATTTCGCGGAGACTTTCGCAGTGCTGATGCACATGCACTCACGCACCACACCCTGCTATTGTAGTTGATGGCCCACATGCGTCTGAGTGTTTGACCATCGATATTCAGATGCCATGTGTGATTCACCACACAGGCAGCAGCGGCATCTAGCGACCCAATTCAAGCTGTTTCTTTGTGCAAATCACACATGTGACACTGTTACTGGCCTTAAATGAGTCTGCCTCGAAATGGGGCAGTTCTGAGGGACATCACGTTTGCACGCGTGTGGCCCTATGGAATGTATGGCAGCTCACCGCTTGTCGAGGTGGCGGAAGCCGGAATTTTGGAGCCCGGCTGGTACACCCGGCTGATTTGCACATGACAGCGGCAAGCCGCGGAAACATCGATGCAGAACTCCCGTCATGAGAATCCAGCCTGAGGTTGATCCCCCCCTTATTTTTGGACTCTCCACCCATCCTTCTGTTAAAAAACCCGCTTAAGTCTCTGGGGTTTGGCCAGGAAGGCATCCCATGCGGGGGAAGTATAGATCTGACCCCAGTCAATGACAGGGTTTCTATTTGCTGGTCGCGTTTGACTTGCAGCACTGCAAGTGTTGAACTGCCAGGAACACTCAGATCTTCAACCAGGCATACCGAATGCCGAAAGCTTGTTTGAGAATTGAACGTGCCACGTTCCACAGATCGTTGTGAAGTCGCGCGGGATGCTTCAGGCAGTCAAAGGAAGCGGATGCGTTGTTTTGTACATTGCATTGGATGCGAGTTGTTCATGCTGAATGTCAGATATGTCACACCGGTGATGGCTCAAGTTGCATTTGCAGACAGTCGGATCTATCAGACGCTTCGCCTTTTTGCCTTTTCGCCATGGCAGAAGAACCGAAGGCGCCGCAGAGCTGTGCAGAGTTCGCCCTGTACACCACGTTGAAGATTCATGGCCAGACTTGGCAAGCCGATTGCGAACAATTGTTTTGCCCTTCTGCGTTACCGTCATGTTCCCTTACCGGCAACAAGCTTTAAGATTTTGGGGTCCGGGTGTCCGGGTGGGATTGGCACAGGATTGTGGGGGTGCTGCTTGCCCTCTACTGCTTCTTGTTCGGCCTCGATTTGATGGGTGGCTCCTTCGGGGCGTTGGGCGGCAAAGGCGCCGGACAGCTCTTCACCATTACCGACAACCCCATTGCAGGCGTGGGTCGACTTGTTTGAGACACATGGTTGAACCGCAGACAACGGACATGTAACTATGTGACTTGATCTTCTTGGGGTGCCCTCCAGAAAACAATGCAATCCCCTTGCCCCCCCCCCCCCCCCGCTGTTTTTTCGGATCATTGATTGGGGGGGGGGAGGAACAATGCACCTTGGACCAGGGCAGGTCTGAGTTACATTTAACGATCTCCCGCCCCCCCCCTCGACGACTTAACACAATTGTCATGAGCTTCCCCCAAGAATCCAGTCATTTCCTTTTTTGAGGGAGGGTATAAATATGTATAAATGCCTACATTTTCTTGGTTCATCCCAGCACCAAGATAATGTGAGCTTGCCATTTGTCTGGGGTACGTAATTGTAACCCAGGTCCTTTGCAACACTCTTTCAGAGCTAATACCTGAATCTCACAATTTGAAGGTCCCTTTTGGAAAAAGCATGGACTCATGTTCTAATGTACCTTTTCAGGAACATTTAAGTTACATGCTCAGACCTTGGGAAATGGGTGGGATGTTTGAATCACTCTTGAGAACAATCTGTTGGCTACTGTTGGTTCCCCTTGAAAAAGAGCAAGCATAGGATGTCGTGTGTTTAAAACAGTTTTTCTCCAACCATCGCAGGGCTCATGGTGGGCATCCTGGCAACTGTCTTGGTTCAATCCTCCTCCACGAGCACGAGCATTGTGGTGGGTCTGGTGGGAGCAGATGTGCTTACGGTGCGGCAAGCCATCCCCATCATCATGGGCGCCAACATAGGCGTTGCTTTCCGAACCGTGCCAACCACTGAACCACCTTTGTTTTGACAAAAGGCCAATTAAATGCGATCCAACATTCCCCCTACTCCAAGTACCCGCCTTTTTCAGGGTATCATGTCGACCCTCTACTAACAAAGGAGGTATTTACTTTTGGAAAACCTGGGTTTCCCAACAGTACCCTGAAAAAAGCGGGTATTTTGAGTAGGGGGTTGTTTTCCTTGCCCTGGGAACGTACCAAGTTCGGATGGATTCGGAATGGGAGTCCAGGCACGTCAGTGACCAATACCATCGTTTCCATGGCTCATGTGGGAGACCGCATTGAGCTCGAGCGAGCGTTCTCCGGTGCAACAGTCCACGACATGCTACTCGGCAGTTAACAGCGATCCTTTTGAGAGGTAGATGTTTAGACTGAACGTGTGGCAAGGGATGAACCAACCTCTCAGGTTCAACATGCTGAGTGTTCTGACTTTGCTGCCTATTGAAATTATCATCGCGGCCATTTCGGGCGAGGGCGGACTCCTTTACTGGATTTCCAAGGGCTTGACTGATGCCATCCTGGGCAACGATGCCTCCGACCTCACTTTTCCCTCTCCCACGAAGGCAATTGTGAGTCCCCTGACCAAGTCGGTCCTCAGCAAAGACAAGAATGTCGTAAAGGCTCTTTCCTTTGGTGCCCCAGTGGAGTATGCGATCCCGGCGAGCTTCTGTGGTTCCGCCGACTGCGGCACTTACTACTGCGTGTCCTCGGGCATGAGCTCAGCTTGGAAGAAGGTGGCAGAAGAGAGCTATGAAGCTTTGCAGACCTGTGGGGCCTTTACGACTGTGTGCAGTTCGGACAGCACTTGCTACCTCGATGCTGGCCAGTACTACACGACCGAGATCGAAGGTGCACGCCTTATTGGCAAGGGCTTCCTGAAAGACGCTGGTGATGTGGCGGGCGGCATCATCGGGCTGGTGATTGCGCTGGTGGTGATGTGCGTGGCGCTGTACGTCATGGTGAGGCTCCTGCACAGTCTGGTTATGGGCCAGGCAAAGAGGGTGATCATGAAGGGTACCCAGATGAACGACTACTTGGCAATGCTGTTGGGGGTGGCCTTGACCTTGATCGTGCAGTCCAGCTCTGTGACCACCTCTGCCTTGACCCCGTTGGTCGGCATCGGTGTGCTGCCCGTCGCTAAGATGCTGCCAATGACTCACGGTCAGACAGTCAGCTGATTTTTCTTCCAGCTGCTTCCCCTGAAAAATCGCGAAACGGTTGTTACTTTTTGGCTCGATCCGTGCGGCCTAGAGCACTGAAAAAGGACGCTCGGGGCAAACATCGGCACCACCTTCACCTCTATGTTTGCTGCGCTGGCCGTCATGAAGGCGAACAGCATCCAGATTGCACTTTGCCACCTGTTGTTCAACATCATTGGTATCCTCATTTGGTTTCCGGCTCCTCCGATGAGGCGTGTGATCATTAATGCGGCATGCACCTTGGGCTTCTATGCGTCTTACTGGCGCTTGGTGCCACTGATCTACATCCTGGTGATGTTTCTGGCAGTGCCCGGCATAACGCTTGCCATCTCACTGCTGTACCAAGCCAGTATCGCCGGAGGTGTCGTCGTGACCATTTTGGCCTTGGGCTTGCTTGCGGCCTTCGTGGTCTGGTGGGTCCCTTGGATCAGTGGGCCTATACTGTCTATACATAATATACGTAATTATTATTATAGTAATGTTGGATTATACATATGTATTTACACATGTTCTTGTCTGCCCATCAACGCAGGCACGAGGTAGTGAGTATAACATGTGTGTATTGTCTCCTGGCCTTTATGCCCAGGTCCGAGTGGGCTGCTACAAGGTGGTGAGCCAGGAAGAGCGAGAGCTCCGCCAGGCCGAGATGGACGCTGACACAGAGTCAAAGGAGGAGCCAACAGCTCCGCCGGCAGAATCAGCGGCGGATGTTGTCGTCTGAGATCCGATCCTTGCGATGGTTTGATCTTCCGCGCTTGCAGGTTACAGAATTCTGCGAGAGTTCGGAGGATAAGTGTGGTGCAATCGCACTGGGGAGCTTTGGAGAAGCTTTCCACATTTTTGTGCAGCTACAGGTCGCCAATTGCAGAGAACCAATCCGCAGCTGCTCTGACTTTTGACTGATGGTGGGCCTTGGCAGCTGATAACGCTTTGCAGCTGACATGGCTAGCCTTGAACCTTTTTGCCTCCACAGCGGAAATGCTTTTTTGTCCTGGGAGGTAGTGCAGCCTTTTCTCAAGGTGTCCTTGTCCGAAAATTGAAAGAATCTCGCAGCCGAAGGCAGCGTGATCCGAAGAGCGCGTGAAACACAACCGGTACAGCCTGATCCAGCCTGCTCTGGTCTAGTTGGTCCATTGCTCGGCAGACTGGTCGTCCTATGGTCCTATGGTGTAGCCGGATGTGCAGAATCGCAGCCTGCAGAAAAGAAGCATACGCGTGCATATCTGATGTCTCACACGCAAGGGGCATCGATTGGTACTTGCCGATTTATTGAGTGGGTGTCCATAAGAGGACAGCTACACTAAACAAAGTCCCCTTTCCCCATAGGAGGTCTGGACACGAGTTCTGCAATTCGCAGGCGCGCTCTTTTTGTTTGAACGACTGCAGGCAGTCCACATTTGGCGAATGCAGAAGCAGCAGGTGGCGGAAAAGAAGGAGGCACCACGGCCTAGTTGTCTAGCTTTGCTTGCCCCATTCTTTGCAGGTTTCCTTCTTTTTGGGCAATTGCCAAACACAGAGGGAATTTGGTGGTTTCCAAAGCACGATGGCTGACAAACATGGGGGGGATCAACCTTCAAATGTTGCTGTCCAGCACCTCCTGCACCCTTGAATTCTGGAATGACGTGCATCACGCTGCATGTTCAGTACCTTTTGATTTGCGATCCAGCAGGAGAGACGCCCGGCACTTCGTAGATGTTTTTTGTTAGCTATGTCAATGTGTGGGTGACTCTATGGAACAGATGCCACCTACTTCCATTTTCTGCTGCTGGTATTGTTGGCTGTGGACCCCTTGCCTATGATATTGCTGTTCAATCGCTCTTTACTTTTGATTGGTGGTGTTGGCCACGGTTCGGCCAAGAAGGTAGAGCACCAACCCAAAACACAAGTTCCAGATAGTTCCAGTTAGAGTATGGGCCGCTGGAGGTCGGACTTCATCTCATAGGGTTCATCCCCTAGCAATCTTGATGCTATGGAGTGACACATGAGGTCAAGAAAGACAAGGAGAAGGAGAAGAAGGAGAAAGAGAAGGCCAGCCAGTGTCAAGCTAGTTGACATCCGCAGTTTGCCAATCACAGGCAAAGCTGGTAGGAACTATGGCGCATCCTGTTTCAACGTTGAGCATCATTTAGTTTCTGCTGATTTGAAGCCGCTTGGTTGGTTTGGCAAGGATCCAGCAAACATAGATTTTAATGCTCGCACGACATTGAGCAACATGCACTTGAGATCTCAACTGGTCGGCTGGGCTGCTGCAAATATCAAAAGCAAGAATTTGAATGTCACAAATTGCAATTTCAGCGAAGGAGAAAGGACTAGAAGGCTGAGTCTTGGCTTGGAGAGCAGGCGACATGTATTGAGCAGACTTAGCCATTCAGGGCTTCTTGCATTGGAGCCTTGGCGGCTTCTTTTTCCTTAAACCGATTTTACGCTAATACTTGCTAACATTTCAACCTCAAACCTCGATTGAAGGAACCGCACATAGCGCCGTCCTGCACAAAGTTTGGAGGCTGAGAAGCGAAAGGAAATTGAGGCGAAGCTGGCTGAAGAAGAGAAGGCCAGACAGGCGCGGGGGAACCGGGCTGAGGCTCTGTCGATTCCTTGACGTTGACTGCGAACGGCGGTGCGAACCGAGAAACGTGCTGTCTCTTATAATTTAGGCCAATTTTGGCTCGTTTTCGGAGCATGCTGCATGCCAGCTTCTTTGCGAGGCAAGATTGGGTGGCGGGCGCACTAAGGAAAGCCGTTCTGATATGGACCAAAAGGTCAGTGTGTCCTCGGGATGTGGCTTCCGGATGGAATTTTGAAGCACACTGCTTGCAGGTGAGATGTCCGAACCGGATTTGCCAACGGCAGGAGAAGTTGGCACAAAAGGCCATGGATGCGCTTTTGAAGGAGGAGGACAGGGACACGCCACATGGGAGCACCACCGGTAGCAAACATGGAGTCCGAGCCCGATTAATGTTTGAAACCAGTTCCAGAGCAATCTGTGCATTTAGCAACTTACGCGTGCAAGGCCACTATCTATTGTTCATAGGTTGGTCAGATGCGCCTGCTGCTTGAAGTCCCTGTTTGTGCCTGAGGACAGGCGTACTTTAGCAATATTCTTCCTGGTATTCCAAGGTGCCTTGTGTCGGGAGCAACGCACGTATGTTCGCATCCGCATCGTGCCAGCACTTGTTTCCACTGAAGTAGGCTACAACACATCGCATGTGCTGGAACCCTTCCACTGGAGCACCACGGAGTCGGATCTTTTTTTCTGCTGAGGCAACACCTTTCGCGGTGGCCGGGTTGGCACATTGAAACCAAATGCCGCAGTTTCAGCTCCCGTCAAGCTAAAGTGCCACAATCAGAAGAATAGGAAACCACCCAAAGGGCTCAGAACAACAGGGTGCCCTGAATTGTTTGCTTCTGGATTGAGTTGAGTCAATGGTGTGCTGCCCAACTCTGCTGTGCTGTGCCGCTTTGCAGGAGGCATCTGGCAAGGCCTGGACGTTTGCAGAACCACGCGAGATGATTGTGTGCCTGTTGGCTCCATGTTGTGTCCAGGTCTTGAACTGAGGGGTGACAGCCAGCATTTGTTTAGACGAGAGAGGTTGTCATGTTCAGCGATGTGTAGACATTGTGTTACTTAGATTCTGTAGGCTTTTGGTCAGCAACCATTGATTTGCGCGGATCGGAGGGGCACAGGAATCAACCATGTTTGTTCCTTTGATTCGGACAACCTTCCGGACAGGACTTGCAAGGCAAAATGCTATTCAGCTGAAAACTGGCATGCAAAAATAAGGGGGTCGGCCAAAGGGCGATTCATCTACAAATTGAGGCATCTGAAAGTAGGTTTGAGTTGATACCTCGGGGGAGAGGAAATCGCACAGCCTTGCGGATGTGGGCTACTTTCGGCCGGAGCATTCTTTACTCACTTTTGCAGGCTGGAGCAAAGCAGCGCGCAGGGCCCAAGTCGAAGAGCAAAAAGAAGTGACGGAGGGACCTGTGCCGCACGCTGAGCCCTGATCATTGTTGTTTGCGTGAAGGGTTGTGAGGACGTGTGTTATGCCATGGTGCAGGTGCTGCCTTCGTTTCTGGCCACATTGTATAGATGGGCGAAGTGTAACCTGCACCTGCACCCCGACATGACATGGCGCGCCGTCATAGTGGGTCTTATCATGATGTGTTCTGAGATTCCTTCATTTGTTCTTCTCGTCGTTGACTTGTCTCAAGCTACCACTATCACTGTTTTTACTGCGGCACATGCCTGCCTGCCACTATGCTGGCTAGACGATGCATCGAACGCAAATGGAACGATCATAATATTTGGTGGGACATCCGACAACTTTTGTGCGGCGCAGGGCGACAGTATCATGGTCAAGCTTGTCCGTTAGCCTGCAGTTGCTTGCAGATTCGGCTGATTGCGTGATGGCCTATTTGACATGGTTGTACCCTCCGCAGTCAACTAGCCAAAATCTTGATTGAGCACCCCAACGCACGCGTTTGGACAATCCTGACTGCGCAATCGGCCATCCAAAGTAGCAACTTGGCAGATGGCCCCGAGGAATATGTTCAGTTGGGCGTGCGCCCTTGATGGCCTTGAGCCGTTTCACCATTAAGATGAGACAGACCTACACCAGGGCTATGAGGGATGAACCCGCAGACGCCTTGTGTAAAGCTGAGGATGGAAATATCAAGCAGCTTGGATTGCGCGAGCAAGTTGCGGGTGTGCCACAGCAGGTACCAGTGTGCTGAGAACAACTTCCATTGAGATGAGTTTACCGTAGAATGCAATATACCAGCTTCTTTTCAGTGCCGTCGTTGGGTGCTATGATCCATTTTGAAAATAAGGGCACTTAGTCCTAAATCAAAGAGGTCACTTAAGCCACCATTTAAACGGCACTTAGACCCTCAGGGTTGCCGCCCCCAGCAGATCCCTCCTCAGTCCGGGCAAATCGAGCCGCAGCGACACGTGAATGCGAATGCCACTCACACCGGGGGGGGGGGACCGACGCTGGGCAAATCGAGCTGCAGCGACACGCGAATGACACTCACGCAAGGGGGACCGACACTAGCGCAACTGACCTTATCAAGGGGTAAGTGACCTCGATTCACACAACCACTGACACTCAAATGACACGCTTTGACAATCACAACGCCATGTTCGGGTTTTCCGGGTCGGCCCCAATCAAATGTGGCAGTTGTCACACTTCGACACGGGTAGCTGTTCGATTTCAACTGAATCCCAACCCCTATCAAGCCAAAAAGGGCACTTAGCAAACGAATCAAAGGGTCACTTAGGCCACCGACACGGCCTTAAGTTTTCCTCGATTCAAAAACATGTCAAGTGCCCTTCATTGGAGAGCACTAAAAGTATGCTGGTACAAAGAATATGTTACGATGTAGATGTAGATATTGATATACGCAACAAGAGGGAGGCAATCAGAGCAGCTGCCTATGCATGAATATATGTGGCCGTGGCTCAGAACTTTTGTTATTCGGTCCGTGGGACATGCGCAAAGACAAGCACCGCGGCTTCAACATCAAATGCAAACATTACCAAGGCCGACACAGCAATCAGAAGCAGCACAGGCAGTTCCCTAGCTCAAACGACCCGGACCGCTGCTTCTGGCAGACTGACACCATGGCTGCGGCAAGCAGCACAACGACCACGACCATTTACGTTTGTACCGGACCAGGCGCTATGTTGGCATTTGGATGGTTGCAGTTTTGATGGCAAGAGCACAGAGTGGAATGCCCAAGCATGCGCTTTTGGCTCGTGCATGTGGCTCAAGGGACATCCAGGTTGCTAGAGGGACTTGTTCAGAAGAGCAATCAGCACCTGAGAGTGCAAGGAGTCAGGGATCGCATGACAATTTCTGATACACATGGCTTCCGGTTCAACCTGATGCATTTGTTCTCAAGGGCTACCATACTCAATCCAGTTCTGAAACACGGCGGCCATCATGCGCCGAATGTTCAATGCCTGCGAAGAGGCTGGGAGACGCTGAGAGATCACCCCCAAGGGAGATGACTGTGTGCCCCTTAAAAGTGTTTGAACAGTGGTTGGATAATGTTGGACCCTCTTTACAGGCCCCCCCCCCCCAAAACAGTGGGAACGGTCAGCTGGACCCTTTTTGGAGAACATCCTTGGGGTCCAGTACTTACTTTTGTATTGCCAATTCCACTTTAGTATTGCCAAGCACCGTTTTTTCAGCAACGCAAAAAAAAGTTGGACACTAAAGAGGACCCCAAAACATTCACATTAAAGAGGATCAGGGCCTTTTGTGGGCAACTCCCTTTGCGCGAATGTTTGCCCGTACTTTTTTGTAAAGAAGTTATCTTATGTAAATTTGATGGCTTGAGGGCCAAATGAATTCCTAATATTTCCCTGAATTGTTTGCTCGTGTTTTGTCCGAGTTTTTTTTGGCCAGCCGTTTGCCCGGATTTTTCCAGCATTTTTTTCCGTCAAAACAAATTGCCACAATTGAGGACCCCAAACAGTCACAAGATCCTTTGCGAAAATAAATTGCCGCAATAGAGGATACTTACTCATTTCTCATTGAAGGCGCTTGTAGTATCTTTTAGGGGTGGTGTCGTAGGGGTAGTGGCCACCCGGATGGTAGGACCCCTTTGCTGGAACCAGCCAGCCTGTCACAGTGGTCTCGCATTTCGACCGGCGTTGTGATCCACAACCATGCTTAAGCATCCAGTGCTTGGCGGAAGCTCGCAACGGATTGCTCAAGGAAGTCCAGCCTTGCAGTCATCCAGTCTTATTCAATGAAGTAGTGTGTGGTTTTTCCCTTCTGTTCCGTTGAAGGAGCAGACAGAGCGTTTGCAGACCTTCCAGGGAATTGCCTGGATTCTGTAAGAACGGGCCACAGAATCCAAGATAGGCATTCTCATTGATGCCACGTCCTTTGCTTGAAAAGGACAAACGGAGCAAGGGTAGATGAGCCAGACCGATGGCGGGAAATGTCACTACTGGCCCAGAAGCAACGGTCGAAGAAGCGAAAGAAGCAGCGTAGGTTTTGTTATGATGCTTGGAGCCCTTTCTTCATTCCCGTGTAGTAAAGGGTACATACACCACCCTTTTCCCCGGTTTGAGGCTGGTGAAAACCCTCCATTGCCCGATCCATTGCAAGGGCAAGCCCTACGTGGTGGTGGCGGGGCCGCAGCCTTGCTCCCTGGACCCTTGGGCAGATCGTCGCAGCTGCCCTTGGCTGCTCAGCCTCAGCCGCTGGAAGGCGAAATGGGGCAAGGGGACAGCAGCCCAGGTGTCCCTTTGATGAACCAGAAGAAAAGCCGCAATTGCTGTTTTTCCCAAAGAAACCAGAAGGGAAACTGAAAGGGAAAACCGAAAGGGGAACCGAAAGGGGAAACCGAAAGGGGAAACCAAGGGGATGGCAATGTTTTGGAGAATCTCCGATCTGCCTATGCAAAGGGGGAAAAACTGCATGTACAAACGCATGAAAAATATCCAACCCTCCTTTTGGAGAAGTTGATGGCATTCATTTGGGCAAGAGCGAGAGGAGCAAAAACCCATGATGAAGGCCTTTTACCGGCCAATCAACCGTTGAATGTCATTCCAGCGAGGGGATCGCGGTTTCATAGGATACCCCCCAACTCCACAGTGGAAAACATGACACCGTCTGCCGTCCCTTGGCCACACTCAAATCTCCATGAAGCCTTCCTGAACTCGTTGTCAGGCTGCTGTGCAGCCGGCAGCCAACGTGCTGCATGAGGCAAGAGCGAGTCACGGCCGCACAGTTCCTACCGGAGTTCCATGTGTTGATTACCCAAAGGTAGACTTAAACCCAGAGTCTTCCTGTTTGCAAAATCAATCAGCCCTGGCTGTAAGTCTACCTGCGGTATTGAAACAGCGGATCCCTGCCTATTTAAGCTGTATTACTTTGCCTTGCACCAGTCAGGACTGAACACAAAAGTCAGAAACAGAAGTGGTCTTAAATACTACCCGTGTGTTGAATGATGTAGCCCAACTGCATGTGGCTCTTTGTTGTTGTCACTCCCCCACCTTCACCCCCACTGCCCGCCCATCCGTACCTTGCAGGTTCTCTACGACGCAGATCGGCCACACTACTGCACCGTTTGTGAAGTGTCGGTCGCCAACTTCGCCAAGCACCTTTTTGAGGCCGGCTTCGCACGATTTGTTTGTGGGGAAGGGGTAACTGGAACCGGTACCTTGGCCGAATGTTTTGGTTTGAAGGGTTAACTCAGTACATCCAGCACATCCCATGGAGGCTTGGAGGCTTGGAGGCTTGTACGCGGCTTATGGCATTTGCCAAGCCATGCCAAGAGGTTTTGGGCGAGTCCGAAACTCGATGCGATAGGCGAGGCATTGGCAACAGCTCTGCGACAAGGTGCCCGATGGGAGGCCAGTGGCAACTCGGCTAGGAGACCTCGCCCCGTTTCCTTCGTTTCCTTTGGGTTTTTGGGTCCTCTTCTGAAAGTATTCTAAAAAGTAATCAGGGTACGGGTACTTGTGTGAGGATGTCACGTTGGATCCAGTCAGAAGCAAACCAGTGTTGGACATGAGTCCAGATTGGTTGAAAGATTTTTGGTTGGGTGGTTCTAGCGGGATCTCAACACATGCCCTTGATGTTCAACACAGCATTGGAGTGTGGGAGAAAAAGGGCAAGCATGTTGGTGCTGCAACATTGCCAAGCACTGCAAAAGGAGATCAGCCCGCAACACTGAGTATCATAAGATGCGGAGGCGGTTCCAGCAAGTAGGTGTCATTGGCCGTGCTTTGAGTAACAAACAAGTCGCTGCTCATATGCCACAGTGCTAATAGCTAACTCAGCACAGGGTAGAAGACATCCGGCCGTGCAATTTGCAGCCCTCCCCCAAACCACGCGCTCAGCTTCCACAGGTCGCCTCTGGGCTTTGTCTATGGCAGCAATGGGACCTGCCAGACGGCCTGGTTCGCTTCAACCATTTGCACGGGCAGGCGAGACCTGCCACACATTTGAATCAGTGTTCTGACGGGCATATAACATTATGTAAATATATATATATATATATATATATATTACATATATACCCGTGCTCAGGGCCCTGCCTCCCCTTTAAACTACCTGGCAAACTCCTATGTTGTCCTAACACCTGATCGTATCTACATATATACATACAGCCTTTGCATTGCTGTTCATGGCGGAGCTTGCAAAGGGTGGGCCCGTAGCAGCCATTTGTTGAGCTATGTTGAGCATAGAGACTATCATAGAGAGGATAGGGCTGCCTTCATTCAATTGCCAAAGGCTTGCAGTGTATTTGCCAGACTTGTACCTTTGAACCCACAAGCACCAAAGTCACGCCCACTAGACCTAAATAAATTTCAATCCGGAGAGTTCCACGACCCTCTGATGGAGTTGTGATTCATAGAACCATGCTCACGTTTGGGCCATTTTGGGTGCAATAAGACCAAGATGTAGGTTGTCTCTTACGCGGCCTTGTTTGATATGCTCTTCAACTTGTGCAGGTCGAGCTATCACGCGGAAGCCCTGACCACCTGAGGCCGTGTTTGTTTCGTTCAGCTTTCCGAGCTTGCAACGACTATGCATACTACATTGCGTGCTGAGCCGAATGCTGGATTTGCCCATGTCCACAAGTTTGCCGGAATTGCAGGCCGTGTTGCTGATCTTTACTGTTGCAGCTAACGATTGACCAGCAGACAAACAACTTTCTTCAATCGGTGTTTTCTCGAAAGGATCTCTGGAAAGAATGGGTACTGGTAGTAGTCACTTGATTTGTTTTGGAGACCCACCCTGGCCAGGCCAACCATGTTCCGCCGATCTTCGCCCTCACCGTCGCGCAGGCGTGCGGAATTTCAGGGTTTGTTTCTTGTGCTTCTCGTAGAAAGCTTTAGCAGAAAGCAGAGTCCAACACACTATCGCAACGTTTTGAATCTAACTATTTAATCGGGCAAAGGGTGGCTCTGGGAACAGAGCTGCTTATGTCGGCCGCTTGTGGCAGGCTCAAAGAGTTTGGGGTCGGAAAAAACCCACAAGAAGGTGGATTTGAGTATAATACACCCTCCAAAACGGTTGGTGGACATTGTAGCTCCCCTTGGAAATGATCTCCCCCAAGATTCCGTTTTGTAGACTCCCCAGTTCTATACTACAGAACGACTGTTCCAACCCCACCCCAACAGTACAAACAGGGATCCAAAGGGTCCGGATGCCGACCTCGACCGCCAGGAAGCTCACATGGCTTAGCGGCCTGCCGGGCGCAGAGTCCTTGGACAACTACAACTGCTGCAAAGAGCGGCATGCGCTGGGGCACTCCCGGCATCAGGCGGACTTTGGGTGTGGGGGTTCGGTATGTTTCCGACGGTTGTTTTAAGTTACATCACCTTTAAGGGGCCAACTTGAAGTGAGTTTCCTTGTTGGGTGGGTGCCTGTCGCCAAGAGCTCCATTTTGTGATTGATTATCCAAGGTGGGCGGGAAGCCAGGGGTGGTTTCTACAAGACATCCCCTGGCCTAAGTCCTCCCGTAATCAACACTGGAAAGCTCCAGATCCCCACCCCTGATGCATGAACCTAGAGGTGACAACGACTTTGGGGTCCCTTTACTCCTCAAATGCAGCGCATCAAGGCATCCTACTCCAAGTAATGTGTGGGAGGGGCCATAATTGCCCCTTCGAAGCATCCCCAGACATGTTTTTTTCAGCAGGTGCAAGGGATATACTACTACTACTACTACTACTACTACTACTACTACTACTACTACTACTACCACCACCACCACCACCACCACCACTACTACTACTACTACCACTACTACTACCACTACCACTACTACCACTACCACCACTACCACTACCACTGCCACTACTACTACTACTACTACTACTACTACTACTACTACTACTACTACTACTACTACTACTACTACTACTACTACTACTTCCTGTTCGCACACGATAAGCCTTCAACTGGGGTCAACATATCTTGTAGTCTATGCTACGTTTGTGAGGGGCATGGAATGGGGGTTCGCTCCAAACATCCCACCAAAACAACGAGAGTCCACCTGTTCTATGTCTATAGATGGAATCCGCAATTTTTTACCTACGACAGGTGGATTGGGACGTGTTCCCCTACCTAGAGCTGGAAGGCGAGCCTAGCCATGCTGCAGTGAAAGCCTTTGCTTGGAGGCGGGGAAGGAGTGACATTTGCCCGAGATTCCCGCCCCCTACTAGATGTACAGGGACGAGTCTCCGCGTCCATTGAACAATCCGGGCGTATGGCTCGCCCGACTGTGTTTTTCCCATTTCTTGTCGCTACCAAGCGCCAGAACGCACCTCGTGCTTTCGTTGTTGCAAATTAGCGGAACACAAAAACTTGAACAGCTTGTTGAATCGCGTGAAGAAGTCCATGGTGCATAATGTCATCGCTAGAATGTCCAAGCCTGCATGTGGGTCTGACTTGGCTAAAAGGCCTCATACAAAGTGCGTCAAGTCTTTTGTTCGCACTCCTTCCACTTTGTCGCTCACAAGCCCTCGTTCGGCTACTTTCATCCTTGGCATCTCACGGAGAGCAGGAAGCACACACAAACACACCCACCCGCACGCCCGCCCGCCCACCCACGCACGCACCCGCACCCGCACCCGCACCCGCACCCGCACCCACACCCACACCCACACACATACACATCACACACACACACACATGCACAGGATACTTTTGCTGCACGTATTATTTATAGGTGTTCTACCAGTTCCGTGTTTTATTTTCTTGCCTCTTAATTAGCCTCTTAGTGTTTGCTTGTTGCTTGCACTCTCTTGTTCTACCCTTCACCCCGGTGTTGCATCAGACTTCAGCCCATTCCCTTGGCTACACTCGACCCGACGAGTGCCGCAAGTTGTTTTGGCATAGCAAACTCATCGGAGGTTGGGATTCAGCGGTAATTTCTCATTCTTTTCTGGGACTCTTCTTTTCAGAACACCAAACACCTCTCGGATATGCTTGGTTTGTCAACAACAGAACGGGATCTGTAGATGAGATGGTGTGGGTCTGGTGCCGTTGGAGAATTCCATTGAGTTGAACTTCCAAGCCTGCGGTATCAAGCCTCGGGCGCTCTCGGCTTGTTTCGAGGCTGTGGTTGGAGCACGTTTGGCCCAAAGCTTGGCCATTGCTGCGGCAGCTGCGGAGCATCTGGGAGATGCGCAGGAGAGACAGCTGTAGCTTTCGGCATGCCACTTGCAGGCGGCAGCCATTTTGTGCGAGTTGCGTGAGACGCCCAGTCGCGAGACTGGACGTTAACACATATTCACAATCTTTGCGTGCGCAGGCCCTTTTGGTGCTCTTTGTGCTACTTGGCTAGCGCGGTCATAGTGGGCTCCCTCTCGGATTCAAAGGCCATGTTCTTGTCCACCGTCGTACCTAATGCGAAGTGTTTTGACTAGTGCTTGATCCTTCCGCCTTAGCAACATTTGGAAGATGACAGTCTTGATTGACTGTCAGTTTCTGCCTGTTAGTCAATGAATTGTTTTGATACAGACGTGACGCTGGCGAGCATGAATTGCAGAAACCTAGCCTCAACAGGGAAGGCAAGACGAGAGGCCAATCACTTAGCTGTTGTAAGATGAACAAAATGTGCTTCTACGCATCGACACAGCCTGGGAGATGCCACACAATGTTGTAGTAGCGTATCACAGCCCAGTGGCCAGCAAGCTGGAGCGCATCACACCGTTGGATATCCCGGCCAGTCACAGTTGACTCTTTCAATGAGTCGGTTTGACTCCCACACCATGGTCTAGCTTTGGAAGAACACGGTTGTGCTGGATCTTCCTTGCACCTCACGCTTGCCAGATGCATCATTTCCGCTCCCACGAACATGGAAGAGCACCTTTCTGGAAGACTACCTGTCTTGGAAGGGGTTCCACGTTGGCGATGGCTTACATTTTGGTGACTGGCGCAGCTTTGCTCCGACGGCTTTTGGCTGAGGTAACTCCTCGATGACGCTGGATCAATTGCCTCGGCACCTTCGCAGCCGCCGCCACTTTGCTGCTCTGCTACGATGCAGCTTGGCAGACTTCCACTCGCAACCTCCTGTGGAACAGCATCCTCCTTTTGGGGTTCCTTCTGCGGGCCTTCGCTTCTGCACCGCAAATCCTAGAACCCTGAAACAGTCGGGACCCGCAACTGAAGCTGCTCCTGCTTGAAGATTTCTTCGCATCTTCGAGCAATGCAAATAGGAATCATTGCTGTGTTCAGAAAGTATCATGAGAGTCTGCAAGCGCACCGCACTCCCAATGTTCAATCATCGAAGTCCTTTCTTGCCAAGATTTGGCAAACAACTGCCATGTTGCACAAACCGTGGCTTGGCATTGAAGGAGTCTGGAAAGCGGGTCAATTTGGACAGTCGCTGGTACTTGACTGGATGTTGCAATTGTGTTCCTTGCCCCCAAACAAGCCACACAGGAAGAGAGGTTGATGAAACGTGCCGTGGAGCCAACACCGACAACAGGGCGCAACATTGGCACGCCCGCATGGATGATGTGTTTTTGGCCGCGCTTTCTGCCCCTGTCCAACAATTGTGGAAATGGGCAGGAAGGTGTCCCAAGAGAAGTCGTTTTTCCACGCCTTGTCATCTTCATTGATTGTTAGAGGGAGGGTTCAGAAGGGGTCCCCACCTGCTCGGACACCTCCAGGCTGCACCCAGTGCCAATCGCCAACACAGCAGCTGGACACGGCCGAGCTGCTGGAGAGAGCCGTGGGATGCGCACGTAAGGCTTATGCCCCTGTTTAGTGGTGGCACTTTGAGGGTCCTTGCCTCAATGCTTTTAAGGGATGAATTTCCCTTGGGTCGTTGGAGGATATCACTTTAATGGACCCAGCAAAGACTTTTGGCAGACCGGACCCGGGTCTTTGAATTGCGGCTCCCTGCTCCTGGGGCCTATGGTCAAGGTTAGAACATAGCCATTGCCCGGATGTTGGCTGACCTATGGTGTGATGTGTTTAAGTTATTTTAAGTTTGAGTCCTTCCACACATGACATGGCACACAGCCAGACGGTTATGTTCATTTGGATATTCAGCTTGCCCGTGTCATTCCGACCTTTCGGTCAAAACATTGGTTGTCTCCGAATTGGAGAACCTTAGGTTTCCTTTTGGTTTTCCAATACCTAGGTTCTACCTTACCAAACGATTGATTCACCCATTTATGGCATATCATTTGTTTCCCTCGAGCGTTGTTGAATTGGGGTTCAGCATTTTGGTAGCTGCTAAGATAGGTTGTTTCCTGTTGGTTTCCCGTTGAAACCAAAGGGGTCAAAAGCCATTCTGATAATTTTCCATACTTCAAGTGCCACGAGCTGCTGAGTCAGGAGCTGGACCACCTGCAGCTGCACATCTCTGGCGGCGCCAGCGCTCCATCCAGTCGGCAGCTGGAGGTGGAGGAGTTCGCTTGGAGGCAAGGAACATGCGGGAACCTCACTCCAATCACAGAAATCATATGAAGCCAATGAGCTCTTCATATGATATTCGGGTTCCCTTGATGGCCCTTGGACAGACATGATTAACTCTGATTTTCCGGCGCAATTGGAAGAATTTGGTCCATCCTGGGATTCCAAACGGCTGAAAGAACGAATGCAACCTCCAGGGTTCCCTATATTTCCCCATTGGACGGACATGCCTCGAGGGAGTACCATGTATTTCAGTGGACGCATTTGGTTGGTTCTAAACGTCACCTTTTCGGCCGATTGCAAATGAGCTTCAGTTTTTGTGAGGGGATTTATGGGGACCCCTGAGCCCCCAAAATGCAGTTTGAACCCAACCACCCTCCCAAGATCGGTGTTTGGGTAAACCAAGATTATCTGTTTTCTGTTGGCACTTCTCCGAAAATCAAGATTCCTTTAGGGAGAATGGGGAAGTACAACAAGAACAAGGCGGCTTCCACTTCGTATCCCTGTAAAGCAACCAGCAAATGCTCACTCTTTGGGCAGGAATCTGAAGTGAACTTTGAGGGTGTGAACGCATTTCAGAATCATAGCCATGCAAGGATAGCACCCTGAGTGCGGGGCTGCTGTTTGCTGGCACTTTGTGGTGGGCTCGGGTTCATGTTTGTGCTTTTCTTTGTGAGTGTGTGGTCTGCGATTTGGTTGTCATTGCTC